CCTTACCACCGGAGACGGATACCCGTGGGATAAAGCAAGGTGTGCATTTTTAGGATCGACCTTTTCTAACCCATACCGCCTTGTGGGAAGGCAGAATCGCTGTTATGCTGATTGTCTGAAGGAAACACCTTACTGCTGTCACACCCATGTACAGTTAGCAGTACGACTTCACCTTCGGACCTTGTATTAGTTGCTTTTAGTCTTACCGTTCTTCAACCAACCTGTCTGGCATGGTAGGACCTTGAGGAACGGTTGTTCCAGCCAGTATATCTCAGTTGCTTCGTCACGATAGGCAAGCCCGACCTGTACGTCAAGGTAGCAACAAAGATCGGGCTTTTTTATCGTTCAGTAAGTCAGTCAAAACGTAGGACCGGGCATACATATACATCGGTCCAAGTTGTCATACCTCATTAGCACAGCAAAACGAACACCGAATTCACAGAAGTAGGAAATTCAATGGTGGTAATATATATGAGATAGATTGCATATAATGATATAATACAGAAAGGAAGAATTAGTTGGTAGAAAGAAGGATATAAAGCAATTTTAATCTCACAGTTTATGGGAAGACAGAGAATGAATACACCTACATCATTGTGATCGATTCTGAGCTATGTCTCACAGAATCTCCAACCTATGGTTATGATTGTCACATGAACCCAAACCAAGTAATCTGCATCTATCAATATGGTTCAAACTATAAGTTAGTGACTTCAAGGACTGATACCACGTTTTGGTTTTGGCCGCTCGTAGCTTTCTCCCAACCATCAGTATTACGCATTGTGTTCATTCATGTTTAAATGTTCTGGTTTAGAACAATTGGTCTCATTAATCAGCTTACTATATTACTGAATTAGAAAATAATTATCACTGGGATAAATTAAAATTTATTGAAAAGGTAATCAAATGATTTGTGGAAAACGAGGGGTAGGTGAGGAGTTTAAGAGATTGTAGTAATTTAATCGTTGAATATATGTAAGTCGTGATCAGTAGAGTTGTCAAGGTAGTGACTCATTGAAGAAAATGGTTAATGATGGCGCAATATGGTGGATTGGTTGAAGTTGGGTATTAACAGCATTGGATGCTTGTTCAATTGTCTACAGGTTAATTATTTGCATGTGGGTCCGTGATTCGAACCCCACGTATGGGATCATGGGTGTGCACAGTTGAGGAGTCCCATACTAAGACAAAACAGCCGTCCAGTGCTTACAGGTTCTCCTTGGTGGTCTAGCTTTAATTGACTTATGAATTCAACTATTAAATTTATGAATTTGTATTCTTTCATCAGAGAAATAAATATTCAAAGTACTTCAACATTATGGATTGTATATAACACAATGGGAAAGTATTCACAATCTGAAGTTATATTTTTTGAATGAAAGATTATATTGGAACTTGTTCAGTTTGCATACTGTGTTCATATAGATGAAGGCAACTTATGCAGTTATACATAATTTGGCGACCTGCTTGAACATCTGGGCTACCTGTTCCTTTCATCTAGATATTTCAACAAGTCTCGGACTTAGTAGTCTAGTGGTTAAGTGCTCGTGCGCAAGACCAGTAGGTCCTGGGTTCGAATCTCGCAATGGGCGAGGTAGTGAATGCGCACTGTTGAGGAGTCCCATAATAGGACGAAACGGCCGTCCAGTGCTTCCAGGTTTTCCATGGTGGTCTAGCTTCAACTGACTCATGATCTTAACCATTGAAAATACTACAATCTCCACAAAACCCTTCTGATAATCATTTAAATTTATCTGTTTTAATACATCATTATGTTTATTAATCGTATAACCTATCCAGGTGCTTTTATGAAAAGTTTACAACCTATCGTTGCCCAATCAGAGATATCGTGGTTATTGACAATAAGGAGAGAAAAGAATGTACATTATTCAGATGTCCATCCCTGGACTAGTAACTTCTCACTGGCAACTACTCAATATTCGTCATCAGAATCGATCAAGAAATAAGAATCGGAAACTTGCTGGAATACTTTATGCTGAGAATTCTACATTGTATTAAAAATATAATATTGAATAAAGCTAGTACTACTACTGTAAATCAAGGAGAACACAAGTGGGGACGACTGAATGACTTGATAAAATAGAAAAACCATACTATAATACTTAATTTACAAAATGTTCAACAATTGTCTCGGACTTTATTGTTCAAGCATTTCCATACTAATTGCTTTGCATTTACGTTCTTCTTTTGGTGATTTTCCCAATCTTCTGCTGCCAAACATTACATTCCTGACTTGCGTCATATACTACTTATATCAATATAAGTAGCACGCAGCACACTACTACTACTACTATTATTATTATTATTATTATTATTATTACTACTACTACTACTACTACTACTACTAATAATAATAATAATAATAATAATAATAATAGCAACAGAATACAATGTAAGAATAATGCTTGAAAAGTTATACGAATAATTAGCCTATTGAGAACGTAAGAACCATTCAGAAAGTGTAAGCAGATTGTTAACATGTTTTATTTATCTAGCAGAAATGATTTATGAAATGATTACAAAACCTCCATGAATATTATAAGTAAAGATAGATAATGGCTAACAGTGTAATCTGGGATGCACATTTCATCTTATTTGAGACGCCATACTGCTCGTACGGGTTATATGCATCATTGGTTTGATCGATAAATCACTGTTCTTTAATTGTCGGTATCATTACGTTATATATATTAATAGAACATAGGGCACAAATTATAACAATATGTCAATTATCTTCTTGGCGATGCTATGCTCTTTGAACTGAATAGTTAACTCGTGAAACCTTCATTGACCTTTTAAATAATACAGAATGGTACTTTAGTGTAACTGTAAATATTATACCAAACAAAAGTAACTGAGTTATAAAATCCATCCATGTTATAAGACGAGAAACTAAACGGAGAACACCATAATATCTGTTTATTGGTAACACTATCTATTCTTTAGTGAACGTCAACATAGAATGATTGTTGTGGAAACGAATGAACAATAAAGTCTGAAACGATCAACTGATAGATGAAAAAGGAACAGTAAAGTTTGAGATAATTGATTAGAGTATTTACTGGATGATTCTTAGATTTTACTAAGACATTCTGTATTCTATGTTGTTGTTCGCTGCAATTCCACAGTATTAACAGTTAGTAACAACAGTTAATGCTTAATAATGAATAGCTTTTGGTTGAATAGGCCATATCACATTATATGATGTGATGTGTGCTATGGATGTCAACAGATATAAGTAATATTTGAAATGTTACTAATCAATGGGTAACATTAGCGTCGGATAGTTGTTAAATTTGTTGAATTTTATGATTTACATCTTAGACTGATCCTAGTTAAACATTCATTGAAAACCAGAATTCACTTCAGAGATATTTCGTCTCAGTAAGATATTCTGTATTCGTACCTATCCACGTAATCATGACTTTTAGTTCACTCTCCTATTTTTCAAATTACTATGACATATTGAATGGTGTATACTAACCATTTCAGTTCTCGTCTACATACATTATCAGTGGTTCGACAGTGATTGGATCTCTTGACATTTAAATCTTTTAAAGTGTATTATATGATTAGTAATTGACACTTTTAGGGTAGTTCACGGAAGATAGAATGAATAATTTTTATTAAAACATTACTTAAATAACAGTCGTGTGACAATGATGTGTGCTACACATGTCAATAGATATAAGTAGTATATATCATCAATAGAAAGTGAAATGTCAATGAGACTATAATTTATGAACAACCTTTGAGCGACACTGATGTGAACTTTGATTGTGGATACCTGTGGTGTGGGTTACTTATATCCACGCAAGTAGTATATGACAGTGGTCAGGCATAGAATGTATTTCAGTAGAAGGTCGATGAGGAAAGAACAGGAACGGAACTCAATTGGTATGGATATGCGTGAACAATGAAATCTGAGACAATGGATTGATGTTTACAACAGGAACAGTAAAGTCTGAGACGATGGATTGATATTTTGTAAATGAAGTATTCCTTGTATGATTCTTAGATTTTACTAAGTAGTTCTGTTATTTTGTATTTCAATAGATTCGATTGTCCCTACTTGTGAGTTCTCGTTCACCACAATACTATATCATCACATATCATGTTTTTTTATACCTTTGGCATGTTATTTCGGTGGGGTACCTAGCCTGTCGTATGCCCTGAGATGGTGTTCTCGTAACGTTCGTGTTGCCTGATCTACCAAGGGCGATGGGACAGTGCATAATGCTGTCGTTGTGTGCTAGGTTCAAAGAGAATTGTATGCTATATGCATGCAAATCCGCCTCGTTATTATTCCTATTACATCCAGCTGAGAGAACAAAACTCCATCAAAATCATCCACCTGAGCTACAAATCTCCACCATCGCATGTTATTTCACATAGCTGACAGTTCTCGAACTCATCACCGATCATTGAAATCCATTTCATAAATACCTACCTACCTACACACGTACATACATACGTACATACATACATACTTACATACACATACCATATATATCCCTAGTTATTTATTATTACAATAATTAGCCAATCAAATAATTCAACCAATCATAAGCCTAGTTTATTTTCCCATATCTTATATTTAAACATATGATTTTCTAATAAATTAAATAAATGAATTACATATGACCCAGCAACAATTACTTACTTACTTACTTACTTACCTACTCATGTTACTCCTAATGGAGCATAGGCCGCCGACCAGCATACCCAGCAACAATACCAATGGATTATTATCATCATTATTATTATTAAAACAAATTAAACATCAATAGATCATTAGGCTTATCGTAAATGTGGTCATGAAATATGACAATTCATGGAGTCTATTTTGATACTTATGAAGGTATACAATCAGATATACGACATAAATACAACACATCTGTTCCATATACATACATATATATATACATATAGTAATATTAGTATTGATTGAGTATAAATAAAGATAAACCCTAATTTGTATGGATCAAATCATTTGGATAATGTGGATATCTTTATTATTATTTACTGGTCAAAATTATACTGGTAAGTAATTAATACTATTCAACTATGTACTATTCGACTACTCCCCCCCCCAACCACCATCTAATCTGACAATAGTGCACGCAATGTCAAGTCACCTAGACTGGTAGCCATATTGCAACTTAGTCGATAGCATTCGATCTGCACGAATAAGAACTTGACACACATGACATTGCTCACCCATCACCCAGTGATTAATCAATTGTGACTATTCAACATGTTTACTAATGATATAAATGTAATGTGAAATAATTCTGAATTGTTATTATAAGAAAGTAGTTTTTATGATAGATAAACAATAATGAACTAGGTAATACTCCATTATTGTTGATGTATTCTTTAGCATGTAGATACTGTACTCCAGCTGGAACCCTTCCGGGTGTACTGCCAGTGTCAAAACTGAATAAAAGAGGAGAGTTGAACATGGGATTACTGATCCCATCCTGTAGAAAAAAACTTTAACGAGAAAAAATAATTTAAATCATTTAAACTCTGACCTAAGAGTGAGAAAGTCTTCTATGACTTCTATTGGATGAAAACCGAGTTCTTTCGAAAGTCATGAAACTCATGCTCTTTCTGACAATCATAGCAACCATTAATTTAGGTACATGAACCAGGAAAGTTATCCAAGTTACAAGTTGCATATAGATACTGTTATCTAATTAATTTTGTGTAAAATCAAATGTGTAGAATACAGTTTATTATTAGACAGTATTGAAAAACAATAATGTATATTTTCATATATTTGACGTGAAGGGACAAATTGAACTAATGATGTTTTGTACAAAATAGTTTCATTATATAAGACTATTTAAGATATGAAAGAATAGTTTAACCCAATGTCAATACATCTTATAATGATCAATAATCAATCTAAATTAAAGAACCATTTAAGAGCCTAGAGGTACTAAACTACCATTTTATTCTATTATAGGATTCGACAAAAAATGTATATCTATAGTGTTGTAATGAATGTGAACACAAAAGGGAACAATCACATGTCGATCAATCGTCAAAGTCTTCATTGTTCTATCGTTTCCACGTCAATCATTCTTTGTTCTCATCCAGTTTTCTTTGATCTTTTTTTAATCTTCTTTACTTAGACATTTCAATTTCGATTGATGATGTATACTACTTATATCTGTGGACATCAGTAGCACATACCACAATCACTATTCATGTAATAATTATATGAAAGAAACTTCGTTTGCTTAGATTATATTCAATATCTTTTTCATACTCATATAATTTAGATTTCATTTCATGATCTAGCTCTATTCATTTATAGACAAAAGATTAATTAGTATAATAAATATGTATGATATTATGAATACATCACTAAAATGTCAGTCAGTCAGCTACAACGTAGGACCAGGCACATATATGCATCGGTCCAAGTTGTTATACCTCATTAGCATAACAAGATGAACACCAAATTCGGAGAAGTAGGCTATTCAATCATTGTAGTATATAAAAGAAAGTTTAGATATAAGGATATAGTACAGGAAGAAAGAATTAGTACATAGACAGAAGGATATAAAGCAATTTTAATCTCAGAGTTTAAGGGAAGACAAAGAGTGTAATCAATTTTAAGTCATGTCACACAGAGTCTTCAACCCTCGGTTACGTTAGTTAAGCAGACCTCAATCAAGTAATTTACACTTACTGACATGGCTCAGACAAGAAGTCAATGACTTTATGGGATGATACCACGTTTTGATTTGATCACCTTTAACATCACGAAACATAATCTGATTAACTATCTTATCATTTAAGACATTTGATTCTGAATATAATTTTTATTTCATTAAACAATAGTATTTAACAATTACTACTATATAACATGCATCTGTCGGAAAACAATCAAAGTTATGATCCTTTATATAGTTTACCTTTTCTATTTAATACTGATACTGAAGATGTTGTCTAGAATGATTATAAACACTCTACAATGAACTGTTTGTTTGTTCATAAAATTATTCTTCACTCGTGTTATTTCTTGTTGAAGACCCTGTCATGTAGGAAAACTTTAGAAGTTTTCGTACTTTGAACATAATCATTAGTTTTTGACTGATATCATGAACCGATTGATGTTAGACCACCATTGAAAACCTGGAAGCACTGAAAAACCGTTTCGTCCTATTGTAAGATTCCTAAACAGTGCACATCCACGATCCCGCTTGCGGGATTCGAACTCAGGTCCTCCAGTCTCGCGCGCGAACGCTTAACCTACTCGACCACTGAGCTGGCCGGGGTCTATTGGTGTTAGTGTCTAACATCAACCAATCCACGAAATTGCGCGACCATCTTCCATTGTACTGAGGTAGATACCTGTCTCTAACCGACACGGATTAGCTCCACTGGTCACGGCTTCTCACTAGAACTCCGAGAATTCCCTCACGAAGCTAGTCACTAGTGAGCACATGTTAATTATCAGTATTTCAGTGAAAAACTTAATTTATCTCCACAACTCCAATACTGATAATCATTAGTTGTTTCATTATTTCTGATCAAATTAAAGTTTACACCAATGATAATTTGAAATCTATAATATTTAGTTAACCTTCATCAAGTGCATAACACGTTTTTACTCATCCCTACTTCGTTACATGTCGTGTCTGTATAGCAATATCTATTGTTTCGGGAAAAACTTATCACTGAATGATGACCATTGTCAGTGTATGGTTACTTCTTAGAGCATATTCAAATTATTCGGTCGGATTGATTGAAAAATACTGACGACGTAAATTTTGATTAATAACTACATCTCAATGTTTATTATGCGGTTAGAATTACATGATCTTATAAGTTCTTTAATCCTCATGTATACTACACTTGACAATTAATGGATGAATGTTATATGTGTACTGTAAGTCCATTGTTTTCCTTTGAAATAAGAGCTTTCTAAATACCATCCTGAGTAAACAGTCAGTCAGCGACAATGTAGAACTTCGTATGTACATCAGTTCGAGTCACCATACCCATTAGAACACAAATAGAATTGTCTATTCACATTCCATAGTGGTAGATCTAGTAAAAATACAAGCAATAATCGGAAACATTAGGGTTTGAAGATGTTATTCAAGGAGTATAATCCAGTGAAATAAATTTGAAAAGAGAAAAAATAAGGGATATGAACATTTCGGAAGATTAGAATTTGGATGCACCTGTGCCATTACAAACAATTTTGAGCCATGTCATTCAAGATCTCTATTCATCGGTTGCTATCATCTTGCGGACCTCAACCAGTTAGTCCACACCTACCAACATAGTTCAGATCACTTATCAGTGACTTCATGGATTTGTGCCATGTTTTGGTCTTGCCACCCCTAGCTTTCTTTCAACCTACTCCTACACTATAAAACATCGCACATCGGGGCAGTCGGTGTTTAAGTATACGTAACACATGTTCCGGCCATCTCAACTGATGAAGTTTCACTACTTCATCAATTGATTTACCATACTTACCTAACACCTGTAAGGATCCTGAGAAATATATATGAATAGATATGTTACATTGAAAAGAATGAATGTTTATGAAAATGCTTAGATCAGATTGTTAGGTGACATATTGGATTTAAATCATATTTATTCTCTGCGAATTCGCAAATACATCCTAAGTGTAATTAATATGACAAAATACGAATCCTTAGATTAAACCTGTTAGCAACTAACACAACGATTGACCAAAAAAAAAACATGTCTTGGACAATGCATAACTCATCTATTTCATAAAGTAAGAATAAAAATCGAACCTTCCAAAATAACCGGTAAAAGTTCATTTATATTCGGTAGATAATCAACTATTCTTTCTTGATTTGATTAAATGTCAACTTTTGATAAATAAGTATATATGATCATAGTCAAGTTGATAAATGTTAGTCAATGAACCAGACAACAGATTACCTCTTTGTTACTATGCTCAATGTTTTGTATTTAGTTTGTGATACTTTGTAACTATGTCAATAATATGTCAAAATTTAAGGTGATTGGTATTAAATCGGAATTACAGAGTGAATATTAAAGTTATGGTACTGCTACATCAGTGTAACAGAAGCCTCAGCAGCAGTAGGTCTCAACTGAAAACAATTGGTAACCAACACCAAAGTCAGAATTTTCAATACAAATGTCAAGACAGTTCTACTGTATAGGGCGGAAACCTGGAAAACTACGAAAGCCATCATCCAGAACATACAGGTGTCTATTAATAGTTGTCTACGCAAAATATTTCGGATCCGTTGACCGGACACTATTAGCAACAACTTACTATGGCAGAGAACAAATCAGATCTCAGTGGAGGAAGAAATCAGGAAGAAACGCTGGAAGTGGTTAGGATACACATTGAGAAAATCACCGAACTGAGTCACAAGACAAGCCTTCACATGGAATCCTCAAGGTCGGAGGAGGAGTGGAAGACCAAAGAACACATTACACCGACAAATGAAGATAGACATGAGAAAAATGAACAAGAATTGTATGGAACTAGAAAAGAAAGCCAAAGACATAGTGAGTTGGTTGGAGAATGCTGGTCGGCGGTCTATGCTCCATTAGAAGTAAAAGTTAGTACTGATACATCTAAATGACAAGTTACAATTAGAATAAAACGATTGTTTACGTACCTTCCAACCAATTTATACTTATTTAACTTTAGTATTTCCATAAGATTCATTCACTGATTGAATGTTTTTGCAATAGACTTCTTTTTTGCTTTTATTCAATCATTTATTGTTCATGCTGGAACTAACAATTTCATGCTTAGTTACTATTTATGTTACTTGATGGAATTGAGACGAAAACGTTTCTCTTTTTTACTTTTTTTATTTTTATTTTTATTTTTTTATTTTTCATTATTGATCAAATAAATTTGAAAAAATATTCACTTATTGAATTTTATTATTAACAAATTATGATAATCATTCAAATGGAAGTTGAATTTATGAAGCCTACTATTTAGAACCCGCGCGAAACCAGTAGGTCCTGGGTTCGAATCTCGCAGGAGGCGA